ATTTCATGCGAAAAAGCTCTTAAAATTGGTTAGAAAAGCCTCTTTTAGCTTCCTCAACAAGTTGAGTATTGGTATTCGAAAATGAATTTTTTTGAAAACTTCCGTTATTTTTTGAGTCAATTTTTTCTGATTGTAAGTCATTTGTTTTTTAGTATGATAATTATTTGTGAGGCGAGGAGGAAACTTTAATACAGTGCATCTTGTAGAGAATTTTGCGCACTGGAAAATCTACATCAAAATTTTGAGAAAAATGTTTCCAACTTGAGAAATCAATGGAGAAATGTCGTTTCTCGAAATATAGCAAAACGGTGAAAATGTGTGATTTTCAGTCAAAGTAAACTTTTTATGATAGAAATAAAGTATATAAATCAATTATACACAAAAAATTGACATAGAAATGCAGTTCTCAAAAACAAAAGTTTCCGAAATTCATTCGCTTTGTGTATAAGATATAAGCCGCATAGATAAAGCTGGCAGACGATTCATGATACTCAGCGATTGAGCCAAATACGATATAGCATGTGTCGGGTAGTGTATCGAATATTTCTATATGAATCTTTTGTGTAGGATCGATCTAGATACTTTATTTCTATCATAAAAAGTTTATTCTGATTAAAAACCACATATTCTTGTTCTCGTGTTGCATTTCAAGAAACGATCTTTCTCCATTGATTTGTCAAAATTGAAACGTTTTTCTCAAAATCTTTATGCAGATTTTCTAGAGAACAACATTCTCTGCAAGTTGCACTATATTAAAGTTTTCTCCTTGCTCCCCAAAATAATTATCCTACTAAAAGACGACTTACAATCGGAAAAAATTGTCTAGAAAAACGGAATTTTTTAGAGAAATTAATTTTTTTTGAATATCAACTCTCAACTTGCTAAGAAAGTTGAAAGAACCTTTTTCGTTCAGTTTTAAGAGCTCTTTAGAATAAGACGTAGCTCAAATGAAACGGACAACAAAAGCGAAACATGGATGGCTGAAATTTCATCAATAAGACTGTCGCCGACAGGACATTCATCAATGGCAAAAGTCTTATTGGCGAAATTCCGGAACCCCCGAAACGCTGGACACATTTTTTTTGTTGATTTTTGAGAGTATCTCATATTACAATAACTCCGTCAAATTACATCCAGGAGCCTAGAAAAAAGTTTCTATAATTTCAGTTTAATATGAAGAATTGTTTGATGAGGAAAAAAGGCTACATGTTGAATTCATCATTGAAATGGTTCTATTGACAGATGTTCGACAGACTAGCGAAATCCTCTCTTAAACATTCTTTTATATTGTTTTTTTAGCAAAATTTTCATCTGATAAATGCCAATGGAAGTTTCATCATTATTCTCCTAGTCCATGGGAATTATATTGGTATAATAATATAGATGTTTTACAAAATAATGTTTGTCCAAAATTAATAGAAAATGATCAATTAAATAAAAGTATTCGATCATTAGAATATATTATTAATTTACAAAAAACAATTTATAATAAATCATTTTTATCAAATGAATATGATGAACTTTTTTCTAAAATGTATTATCAATCTGAATGTTCAAGTACATCACAATCAGATCGTATGGTTTCACAATATATTGAACCACTTATTGGTCTACTTCGTGATCCTTTAACAATATGTTCATATCAAAATCTTCCTTCAAAACTTCAAACCAGTGAAGAAAATGGAGTACAATCAAAACGTTTCTTTCTTCTTGGTCCATCAGCACCATATAATAATTTTCAAACATCAACAATATCAATTGCTCCATGGCTTTATCAACAAGATTCACAAAAAATTCTCATGGATATTGGTGCTTCACTTTTTAATGGTGTAAATGATCCAAATACAGTTAGTTCACTAATAGGTGCACGCTGGTTTTATGAATATTTTCGTTTACATTCATTATCATTTGATCGTATAATTGCATTTGAAGCAACTCAATATTCACCACAAACATATTGGCAACAAATACCTGATGATATTATTGGTTTATTAACATTTATTAATGTTGGTGTAGCAAACACTGGTAAATTTAATCCTTGGAATATATTAAAATCAATTGCAAAAATAAATGATTATGTTATTATTAAACTTGATATTGATAATTCAATATTAGAAAATGAACTTATACAACAAATTCTTAATGATAAATCAATATCTTCACTTATTGATGAATGTTTTTTTGAAATGCATGTTACAGTTAATGAAATGAAACGATATTGGGGCGCTCCACAAGGTCAATTAAAAGATAGTTATATAATTTTTACTAAATTAAGACAATTAGGTATACGAATGCATTCATGGCCATAGAGATAAAAGAAAAAAACACGAAGATATCCTTTTTATATTTATTCAAATTAAATAAAATGTTTATATAATTAAAATATTTCTGATTGTTTTTGTAAACGACCTTTATTATCATGTGTTGTATCATCAAAAAATGGATCACGTGCTCGTAAACTCCTAAAAATATATATGTAAAGTCATTTTTTGTTTTGTTGAAATATTGTTCAAATAAATAAATATTACCTGACTTGATATGGATCAAGATGATAATGTGTAATACGTTCATCACGAAAATTCTCTAATGGATTTGATATTTTTGTATCTTCAGTAAAACCACTTGGTTGTGGTTTTTGTATACCACCAACAACATAACCTTCACGATCACGTCCTTTAGGATTCATGTCAAAATGACTTCAAACGAAAGAAAAATAGATTAGTTAATAAAGAGAATAAAGTATTTTTTTTTAAATATTTTCCATACTTCATCTGATATGTTGTAATGAAACGACGTGGATCATCAAATGTTTGAACATAACCATCTCCATTTCTTGTTGGACCTGTAATTTCTTTTGGACCGATTTCTAAATTGCCCATTTTTTCTGGTAAAAATTGATTACCAAGATAATTTTTTCGATATTCACTAAAGATTTTTTCAATAAAAAGTTTTTAGTCCTATATATAATGGCTTGCAAAATTATTTGATCAGATTTATTTTCAAGCTTTTTTTAGAATTCAAATAATTATTTGTATAAAGAATTTTATTTTCAAAATGGAAATTGTCGAAGATGAAAATGTTTACCAGGTTTCCAAAGATACGATCTCTGAAAAACCAAAAGTCAGGTTTTTCAACTTTTGGAATCTTTCTACGACGTTTTTGTTTTTGGTCGAGATACATCAATCTTATGAAAGGTACAAAAGACGTGTATGTCGTAGAGAACAGAAAGACATTTCATTTTGTAGAGAATTATTTGCTGTATCATTCTGAATAATTCAAACAGAATTCTATTTAACGAATTCAAGAATGTGAAAAACTTAAATTTTGAGATTCTTCAGAAATTCCATTCTTAGAAAACTAGCAAATATTTTTTTTATCTTCGACTACACTTGCTGAAAATAAAATTCTCTATACAAATAACTATTGAAATTCTTAGTAGCGTTGATGACAATGGAAAAAAAATCTAGTTGAATAATTTTGAAAAATCAATGTATATGGATGAAACAAATTCTTACGTAGAATCAGGAGCAAATGAACCGCCAGCATAAGGACCTTCTCCAGTAGGTAAAACAAAATTATTAATAACACGATCGGATGATACTTTTGTATTTGGATCAATAATAGTAAGTAAAGGATCATCACCCTAGAAAATCAAATTCTTATTTAAATCTATGATAATATATAGATTTTACTTTTGGATAATCATATTGTGGAAATTTATCTTTATATTCACTATCACCAGTTGGTCTTGAACGATAATGCCATCGTTCACCTAATGTTGCTGTTAATGGATCAATTTCCGTATTTGCTACAAATCCGGAATTTTCTTTTGGACCAACTTCTCCCATAATAACTGGTTCAGTTTGAGCTGGTTTTACAAAATTACTACCATATGTTGTTACTTCTTTTCCACCAATCTAAGAAAAACAAAAGAAATCTTTTGATATAAAATTACACTAATAGATTAAAAAATTTTGCTTTTTTTTACTGGAGGCACACGTGAATTAGGAATGTGTACAGCACGTTCACGAAAAAAACCTGATGTTTGATTAGTTATATTTGGTGGTAATGATTCCGTACCGTTAGGTAATTCATAAGGTTTATAATGTGTTTGATGAGATGTTTCATAATTTTCTGTACACATACGACTAAAAATAAAATCAAAACAAAAATTTTAAATCAATTGTTTGACAATGAAAAATTTAATTAAAACAGCAGAATTCTTAGTTTAGAAAAAAAACTCGATGGACAAATTTTAGCATTATTTTTAACTCTAATACATATACTACCTACGACTACATGTCTGAAAGTTCATCTTTGAAAGCTTTCGATAACACAATAAAGGTTTTCAGTATTCAGAGATATCATTCCCGAAATAGTAAAAAAACTGTTTGGCTTTCGGAACTACTCAGCTTAGAGTATACGACATCTAGTCATCGGTAATCTACGTATTAAAATTAACAATAATGCTAACAGTTTGACATTAATTAATTCTAATGCAAGTAATACTAAAGCATGAAGGTTAATTTTAATACCAATGTTTAAAGCATTAGCATTAGTATTAATAAATGCTAATGCTAATTCACATACGAGACACGTAGTAGGAGAGTTTACTCGTACTTGTCCAGTTCTGATATTTCATTCAATATATTAAATAAAAATACAGAATAGATTTTTCTAAAATCCAGATTTTCTTTGTTTTCAATTCGTTTATACTTTGTGCGATTGTAAAGAATATTTAATTATTTAAATAAGTCTCAAAAAGAAAAATTCTTATAGCCTATTACAACATGATGATTTCTATACTAATGTTTTCTAGTAGAATGGTTTTAGAAAATATATATCGAGATTTTTATTATTTAATAATATCTTTAAGACGATATTTTTCTCATTGCATTATTAGACGAGAAACCAGGGATGTCCCAAGCGGGGTTGAGTAAGTCCAGGAGATGATTCACTCAATCTTAAAAAATTTTCGTTTTTTGTCAACTTTAGTAAAAACCCTCCATTTGGCCTCTTGACTCATCAGACTCCTCTCCCTCACAGTCCTAGCGATCTCGGGACACTTCTGAGAGGAACATACAAAATCGTTTTACTAAAGAAAGAAACTTTCAAAAAATATTGATGATTTATAAAATTATATGAATATTCTTGGAAATTACCCTAGTATTGGATTGTCAAGTTCATCTATTGTACGTGTATAAGGTAAATAATATCTATCATTATTAACAAAACCTGTTTTTTTTCGTTCATCTTTAAGTTTTTGTGTTGAAAGATTTTCTGTTGTTAATGATTTATCTCCAAGTATATTCGATTTTGGTCGTACACGTGGTGGTCGATAAGTACTTGAATTTTGTGTTATATAAAAATTCATTAAATAATTATTAGCTCCTTCGCTTGCCAATACGTGTTGATCGGGATGACCAACAGGAACATATTGACTTGCATTTGGACATAAATAATTCATTTGTCTATAATAAATAGATATAAAACGAAAAAAAGAAAAAAACCTATTTTATTATATCCTGTGGCTACACATTGTCATTGTTGATTACTTAGCAACGATATTCATCATTGAAAATCTAAAACATTTGTAACACATCAATGCATTAAATGACAGCTGTTCAAGTACCAATAGAAAATTTCTTTAAGATAGATGAGTAAATGATGAGTAATCATTTAATTTTATTTATATGATAATTTTTTACACTTTTTTATTTATCTATTTGTATTCATTATGGCACCAATTTTACCGATAAATATCAATAGTACTAATTTAAATGCTTTAAGTACTATTAAGCCAGCTTATAAGGTTTTAAAAATTAGTTTTTTAATTTAATTTTAAAAACCAATTAATTCTTTATATTTAGCATTTGATAAATTTACCACCAGCAGGTGTTTTTTCCGATCCTATTTATCGACCATTATCGAGTATAATTTTGTATTTTAATTATTGATTATTCTTAATAATTATTTTTCTTTTCTAGTAACATTTATTGAATATCAAGATGGTAAATTTTTTAATTAAATTAATTTATTTGAATGAGATTCAAGTTTTTTTTTTATTTTTTAAAAAATTTAGGTGATAAACTTGGTTTTGTTTTGGCATGGTTTTCAATGTTACCATTTATTTATATTGTTGCTTTATGTACATTAATTCTATTTCGACGCGATATACAAACGGTAGAAATTGTTTGTTTGTTTATTTTTTGTAGTTTCTTCTATATGAATTTATACACAAAATAGATAATGTATCTTAATGGTTTTTTTCTATCTGGAATAATTAATTATTATCTTAAAATAACTTTTAAACAACAACGACCAGAAAGAAGTAAGTTCTTCAATATGATCAATGAAATGTTAAAAATATTTTACGAAATTGATTTAAGACTGTAAATATATATTTAAAAATAACTTAATTTGATTTATAACAAGAAAACATACGAGATTATTATCATAATTTAAGAAAAAAAGCTTTGTTTTTTTTTTGTTTTATAGAAATGCATTTTATTTTAGCTCGAGATCGAATGGATTATTATGAAATTCATGGTATGCCAAGTGGTCATGCTCAAAGTTTTTTCTATTTTATGACATATTTATCTATTTTTGTTATTCTTAAGTATGGGATGATTGATTTTAACAAACAAATCAAAACAAAAAGCTTTTCTTTTTTTTCTATTAAATTAAAAATCAGATCACAAATTCCTGGTGCATCCTATGTATGTTCAATACGTCATCGTTGTTTTATTCTAGTACAATTTATTGCTGCTATTCTAGTTGCTTATAGTCGGTAAAGAAAAATTCAAATTGATATTTTGAAATAATATATATATATATATTTTTTTAAAAAATTAACAATAAATATTTAGAGTTTATCTTTATTATCATACAATTGCACAAGTTGTTGTTGGTGGTTTAATTGGTGTAATATTTGCTTGTATTTGGTATTATTTTACTAATTATCAATTTATAAAATATGTTCCATTTATAACTGATCTATCATTAGCAAAATATTTACTTATTCGTGATTATTCACCCATACCACATATTATACATTTTCAATATGAAAGTGAATATGCCGAAGCAAAGTATGAAATTATATGATTTGTATAGAAAGTGAATTCTTTTGTTTTTTTTTTAATTTATTTTAATAGACGATGCCGAGAAAGATATGTGAATTATTCAAGGGATCAAATATTAACCAATATACCATGAGCAAAGCAATAAATCTCGGTTTTTTTAAAAGTTTATAATATTTTGATGTAGCTTTGTATTTTAAACGTTTGCAAGAGGAGAATATGAAAAAAAAAGAATCTCGTTTTTATCTTATAGAATAAAATCTTACGGAATATAAAAGTTAATAGTGTGAATAGATAGATTAACTACAATTTATCAAGATCGAATTTGGTTGATAAACTTGACAATTCCTCATCTATGAAGGATAATGTTGAATACCTTGTCTAGTTTATTGATTCAGTGTATATGTTTTTTAAATATTTTAGCTATAGGAAGCAACCATTATTATAGCTGATGATGTATTTGTTAAGTTTACCAATTCAATTCGATGCAGAACTTTGATAGACGTTTTTATTAATGTGTTCTTTCATATGACTTTTTCTTTTAGATCATGATCATTAGTTTTATAAATGAAAGTTATTCTTGCATGTACTGTACTTATTTAATTGATTATTTTCAATGAACTTTATAAGATTATGAATAATAAGTTTATTAAAACAATGTTAAATTTAATATTGATAGGAAGAATATTTTTGATCATGATTATTTAATTTGACAGTAGTTTTGACAAAGAAAAATCTATTGATAGAAATTTGAAAATACCTTTTGTATTGTCTATCATAAGTGTTTTTTTTTTGATTCCTATCTTTGAATATGAACAGTATTATTTTTACTTCATTGTACTATGCGTCAATTATTGAAAACTTTATTTCTAAAATGCGAAAATGCTTATTTATTATTCCTAATTTACATTTCGAGAAAATTTAGTTTTATAATTATTATACCTACTAGTATTACGCACAATCGAATATAATTTTATAGAAAAAATTAATAAATATTGAAAATTTAATAATAATTTACTTAGGATATACCAAATATAGTGGTAGTAGCACTATAATACCTTATAGAAGGCTCGAGAATTCTATAATAATTATTTCATCATTCTTCATATAATATGACAATATTAGAAATCCGATCACATGAATTTTCTGTCTTTGATTTAGATCGATAAGAATTATTCGTAATGAACCATATTTTGTTTTCTAAATCAGAGGTGATGAACACCTTTGATCGAAATTCTGTTATTATCCTATCAATTGAAGAATGGTAAAAAATTATAGAATTCTCAAGTACTGTTTCGACTATCAGTATTTATATATAGAGAAAATTCTCTCGAGTCTTATAGCGTTATAGTCATTATTTTTAGTATCCGTTAAATAAAAAATCAAAATCTTTTTAATTCTATTATAGATATGACAACAAAATCAGCTCTTACAGTTTATAAAAATTTATTACGTGAATTATCTATAAATAATTCCTTATTTTCGTATCGATTTTCACCAATTTATTTCAAAATAAAAGATGAATATCGTCGTTATCGTCCAATAACATCAAAATATTGTAAACATAATGATGAAGTGTTATTTATTGCACAAACTTATTTAACTTATTTACAAAGTGTACGTCAATGTAAAATAATTCGGGCAACATATTCAAAAGGTGAAAAAACTGTTCAACAAGCAGCACGTATTGTTGGCTTAGAATTACCAAAAACAATTGATCGACCACATTTACCAATCAATCAAATATCTGAATAAAAGACTATTTAAATTTATCTTTAGGTCTTTTTTTTTCTTTTTTTTTTCATAGTTTTTTCTGTTATTTTCCCCTGCAGTCTTGTCATCCATTTTTGTTTTTGTTTCAGATGAATTTATGTGATCCAAAACAAAAAGCATTTGCACAACGTGTCTATTTTGATCTGAAAATTTGTAAGTATAAATGATAGAAAACAAATGAAAGTAGTTTCAATATGTTAAAAGACATAACATCTATCGATTTCAATTGATTTAATATAGGTCGTAAATGGTCGAAACTTCATGTATATTTTAATGAGATTAATAAATGGATATTTTTTCTTGGTAGACCATCTGATGATCAACCATTGACATTTGTTTTGCCTATATCAAGTGATGAACAATTAACTGTTGATGATTTATTTAATTTAAGATCAAAATTATCTTCGGCATTACCATCGAATATTGATGAAAATATTCCAAGGTTAATGAAATATTCATATTTTCTTTTTTGATTTTGAAAAAATTCAAAAAAAAATTAATGAGAAAAACAAAAAAATGAATTTATTTCTAATTGTTAATTCTCGAAAAACAAATTTATGTATACTTCGAATGAAAGTAAATTGTTCTATAGACCGAAAAGATAATGTATAGAAACAGAAATTTACTTGTGTCTGCCTGTCTGTAACATAGTAATCATAAGGCAGCTGTGGTACGACTAATGATTGCGTCGAATGACAAAAAAAGGACACCTATGCATTAAGATTTAAATCAACCGAGGAGTTATGTCCCTGGACGAAATCTGTATACCCTTTGAAACGACTATATACACTCAGTGTGTCAGCGTATATGACCGAATTTTGATTTATTATATGTCTCACTATTACGATCGTATTCCTTCGTATGACATACGAAGAAATATGATCGTGATATTGAGCCATGTAACACGTCAATATATGACAATTTATGGTCGTTTATGAGCGTGTTTGCTCGACCTGAGATGCTTTTAGAAGTAATGATCATTATTAATTAAATTATTGAATGGTTCGATCAATGGTTCAATGGTATATACATGAAGATGTGATATAATAATTATTAAGAGTTAAAGAACGAATCTCAACATAAGATTATGATTAACTAAAATCACATTATTTGTATAGTGTGATGTTAATTCTTTTTTTCTTTTGTAATAGGAATAGTACTAATATAACTATTTATAAACAATTGTATTGATCTCTATATGATAAAAAAATTTTTTCATTTACTATATTCAATTATCATTTAAAATTGAAAATAAAGTTTTAAGAATAGTATGATAGAACAATAGTAAATATAGTTACAACAGTGTAACGATTGAAAAATTTCACAAAACTTCTGTAGAAAAAAAACCAAAAAACATTGGACGTATAAGTTGAGCTCAATTAGACAATTGTAGCATATTCAAAAATGATTTTTCTTTATAAACATAAAGATCAAGTTTTATATTACAAAAAAAAAACTTGATTTTGTGAAACGAGTCGCTTTTATACATCAAGTCACGTCTTACATTTATCTAGTACCTTACTTAATACATATTTATACCTATATGCGTCTATATGCATATATCTATATTCCGTCAGCCGAGAACCAACTGAATCGAATCTTGATGAGCGTTATTTGCATTGTAAATATATGCTTAGAGATTTTCTATGAAAGAATTATGTATATAAAAACGGATGGTGCATAAGTTCTGCATTAATTTTGTTTTCAGTATCATGTGACAATAATTTGTCGTGGAAACTCAATAATTTTCTTGTTAGAAAAAGCAAAGTCGCTACTACAAAGCTGTCGAAAAATATTTAGTTTACAATACTTGTTGAAGATTGGAAAGTTTTAAGAACATGTTTGACTGGAAAAGTTCTCTGCATATACTTCTAATGTTTAGAAGAAAATCTCCATCTACTGAGAAAGTTAATCTTGTTTATCGTCTTGTTTTGGAGTTTTGTAGCGCTATGAGAAAACACTGTAAACAGGTAAAAATCAAGCTTTCAAGTTATCGATTGAGTTCGAAATCAACATTTTTCCAACGTCCTTTGCTAGTGAAAAGTGTTCACAACTAATAAATGATTTCGACAAGATAAGATGTTTTCCAGCAATCAAAGTTAGTCAAAACACATATTTTATGTTCTACTAGAGTTTAATGAGTCGTCTACAGAAGTGCATTACATAAAACAGAATACAATTTTTCTATCAGATATTATCAGAAAAACTTCTATAGACATTGTAGAGAGAAGATTAATTTTTTAATAAAACTTTTTTCTATGAAATCCGTAGTTTTGTAATTTGAATATGTTGATCCCACTAGAAAGCTCGTGCCGTGTTGGTTACATTCACACATAATGTGTCTGAAAATTTCTAAAGTCTAATGCAAAACAAATCGATCAAATGCACTTCTAATCATTGATTGTATGTGAAGTTACAAGTAGATCACGCTATACTGAAAACAAAGCTAAAACAGAACTTTTGTACCATCCGTTACATCCTCTGATTTAGTGGCGAATCAGTTTTTTTAATAAATTAAGTACGTATATGTTCTCCTTATATTTCAAATATTTTATTAAACAATAATATGAAATCAAAGGCAATAATCTAACAAAAGTTTTTTTTTTAATTTTTCTTTTCGTTATTCTTTAGTGTATTGATGGCAATTATTGCAAATGATTTTACATTAGGTTATTTCAATTTTTCATTTGATCTTTCATCACCCATCATAACAAAAACAGAAACAGAAACTTCAAATAATCAAATAATATCTACGATTAATGATGACTTCACTACAAATGAAATGAAAAAAGAAATAGTTAATAATGAATGGCCTACAAATGAGACAAATGCTACTTGGGACTAATAAATATCGATAAAAATCTATTAAGAAAATCTATTTTAAACGAATTTATTTATTCCAGATATGGAACATATAATATCTTTAATCACAAACAAATACATTAGAATGACACAAATCAGTAAGAATTTTTTTTTTCTTTCTTTATAAATGTTCTCCTTCTCCAGTTTCTTCTTTAAATGAATATTGTTGTTCATCACTATCATCATCATCATCTTCACTAAATTCATATTCATCATCAAATATATCACCTGTATAATAGAGTATTGCTTTTGGTATAATATTTTCACGTATATAATGACCTATTTGAAAATCAGTTGCTAATTTCCAATCATCAGTATTTATTGGTGATGTAAAAAAATTAAAAAATGATGATTGTAATTCACCTGTTTCAATATTTCGTGTTACATTTGTTTTTAAATCAATCCAATCAATTTGACATCCTATTGAATGTATAATAGCTGTACCTTCATAAAAAAGTATTTCATCATCAGGTTCAATTTGTAGTTCATAAAATTTTGTTAAAATTTTATTATAAAAAAATCTTTTTGATTCTTCATTGAAATGAAATTCAAGTGTAAAACCAATTATAGGTTGAATATGTAATTGAAGTTTTATATCAGAAAGACATTTAAGTAATGGTTCATCCCATTCTTCTATCATATCAGCAATCATAGGTACCTTAAAACAAATTATGTTTTCTAAAACGTTTGACTTTATAGTAGTGAACAAAAATATATCAGCTAATACAGATGCTAGAAACCTGAAAATTTTTGTGCACATAATGTACTAAGAATTTAGTTCAGAAGCATGAGATTGTCTCAATTGCTTTAATACAAGCTGAATTCTCATGAAAGGCGCCTATCTTTACTGTAAGCTTTTAATCTGAAAAAAATTGCCTACTAAACTTCTTATTGCCTTCTATCAAATACATGATTAATTCTTGATATTTTACCATCCAAATAGAAGTGATGTAAAAGCGGTAACAATTCTAGAAAGGATTGATGAACTTTAATGAAAGTAATATGATAGATAACCAGAACAAACCACTAAATAATGACGGATGAGTCGATCTACAAAGTTCTTCGTTTTCAGAGTTATGAAGTTAAAATGATAAATAGATGCAATCCATCACTATTCATCATAATGCTTGCTGCATTTAAACAATCGAGGTAAGCTCAAGTCTTATACATAATTTCTTATTGGAGTATGTGCACATAAATTTTCAGACCTCCAGAGTGTACAGGAGCTAAATCCAAAATTTTTGGACGCGACAGGGTCTATGATCAGTCCGATGTGTTCTAACAGTAACCGACAATATGGAAAGTGGGAGACTTTTGTCCATTACTTCAGTTATTTATGATCATACTTGTTTAAGTGTTTGTAACCAAAATGAAGGAATTCCTAATTTATCATTTGATAATGATGATCTTTCAATAAATTCAATAGAATCAGTTTTTAATCGACATTCATCATCGTTTGGTTCATATATTCCATTAATTATATTTGAACGGTGTTCAAATAAATATGAACATTGTTGATGAAATTTATATTCAAGTTCATTAACAGATTTTAAATAACGACTTTCTAATTGATTATAAGATATTTGTAATTTTTTTAATGCATCTATATAATCATTATCTATTGTTGAAAGAATATGTTTATTAGAAGATGAAAATTCTTGTTGATCACCATGATCTAAAGATAATGATGATTCATCTGATGTTGTAACTATTTCTTCACTAGACGATGACATTAATACAATTAAAGAATGAAAATAAGCACATAAAAACAAGATAAAAATGCGCGATTTTAAATTGAATTATTCAAATGAAATAAAAAAACACATCTGTTTTTATATAAAAGACATTATTCTATAGAGACCAAACTTTCTCCAATCATAATTTCTAATTTATTGTTGATATATATATAAAAAAAAATGATTATATTTATTGCATTTCAGTAATCATTTACGTAAATCGCTTTCAGTCTACACATATATTCACTTAATAGATATTATGAATACATATATTTATATGTTCATCATAGAATATTGTTATTATTACTATGTTGTGGTTAATGAAGACGAAGCTTTGTTTAACATTCGACAGCAGAATTAATCTAATCCAGTGCTATTTGTAATTGTTGTTCGAACAAATAATTTGTTTATCTCATTTGTTTAACTATTGCTGTTAGTTGTATTTATGCAATCAGAACAAGCTCATTATAAATGTTTATGTTCACTATATGTGTTCAATATAATATGGTTCGATGCTATTTTTTGTTATATTCATATTATGGTTCAATGAAATTATTTATATCTGTAGAAAAAGAAATAAATAATTGATTTTAATTATATATGTAAAAGTCCTAAATCAAATAACTTCATTAAGATCTATTATCTTACGTAAGATAGATATATAAGTAACAGAAAAAAAAAAAACATCGTAGCTATACATGTTCATTATTTTAACGATCAAACGTATTACTTAGATGTAAAAGAAAGAAGTAAGAACAATAGATTGATTATCTAATAGTTTTTTATTTTAACTTCCTCTATCGGATTTGAATTTCCGTTTTCTAGTGTCATACTTTTCAATTTCTCATATTTATTTAAGCATGAGAAAAAATGTGTAATTGAGTATTTTTTTAATATAGCTTGCTCAGATATTTATCTCATATATATCATCTCGTGTCGTCTATGAATATACTTTACTAGTTGTTTGCCTCTTTAGTTGCAAATTTTTGCATACTCCTCATATATATCAGTGATGATTTGATGGGGCAGTGATATCGAGCGGTGTTGGTGTGAAGAGAAGAAAGAAAAAGAGAAGAAGGAGAAAATAAGGTTGATGAAGAAGAATAGACAAGAAAGAGAGACAGAGAGAGAATAAGAAGGCACACCATCACCTTTATGGGCATTAATGTACATACGTGTGGGATATCTGCCTTCTTTTTTTCTCCTGTATCTCTCTCTCTCTCTATTTTCTATCTTCTTCGTTTGTTGTCATTGTTTGTTCTGTTCTTCGCCATCATCACACTATCTTTCTATATAACTACTGTATATTTTTCTTTACCTATATCCACGACAATGTTTCGGTTCACAGCGTTGATTTTTTAAAATATTAGTTAAGTATCGTTTCTTTTTCTTCGTTCTATGCCAAAAAAAAAGACGAAAATGTCTGCTATATATACATAGGCTTATTAAAAAATCATACGACAACGTCAATATTTCTGCAATTTGTAATTATGAAAAATGATCACTATTGTCATTAATATCATTCATTTACTGACATAGAAACGTGTACATGAGCAAGATAGAAAGATAAGAACCAAAAGAAAAAATAACCTAAACAAAATTTGTTTTAATGGCGCGCCGAACAGGTGAGCCGCTTTAACAACAAAAGGGTCATCTGTCTAGTTCTACGAGCAGTTTGAATTTATTCCATCGTCGACCGATAAGACAACATTGAATATAAAAAATATATATATATATATATATACATATATATCTATGCGTAGATATGCGTATATGTATATGCTACAGATCGTTTATTTTGTTGACACATTTCATCGAGAAAGCAAAGAAAGAAAGGGAGGGTGAAAAAAAACCTTTGCTGCATGTGCACATCCGGTTGTTACACAACCTTCTGTAGCTACTGCTAATACACCAGCAAAAAAGATTGATGATCGTTGACATTTGCTTGACACAGAAAAAAGTACAGTAACAACAACTTGTTGCTATCTTTTATGGGAAACAATCGACGAATTTAACTAGTCATATGAAATAGGTATCAATATGACTTTTCTTTTTCTACTACTTGGTCGGTTTCTTTTTAATTTCTTTGCTAATCCTTCTTTTCTTTTTAACAGTATAGTGATACTTTTTGAACTATAAAACTTATTTCGTCGCTTTTAAGTTCTCTTTTTATTTAAATTGAACAGAGCAGAAAGTTATTAATGCTTCTTTTTTTTGTTTAAGTATGCAGTATCCATATATATATATATATATATATATATATGTATTCATTGCACGTGAAATAGGAAGAATGTTATAGTTATGTCTTTCTGCAGGGTGCCTTGTTATAAAAAAAAGCCAGAATAATTGCGTACTCGTGTGTGCCCTTGAAAGTAACACGACGACAACGACACACACAAGGATGATAAGAACACATGTGATTGCAATAGAGAAGCAAGAAAACGTGAATAGAAAAAATATATTTGATTGTCGATATCTTCAATCAAACAATATATATATTATCTATATTTATATATATTCATTTAAGTGATCATGTTTTCTCGTTGTTCGTTTTTTTAATCTTTTTCCATAGTGTATACTTAGGCACCATGTGTGACCAGGATCTATTATCAACAAATGATCGCTAAAAAAAAGAGACGATCGAGTACAGCTGTAGTTGATCGCCTCAATTCCAGTTGTTGTTGTTGTCATGTGTCAGTAGTATATACTAGATTGTCGGTTGATCAAAAGTAACGATTAACCAAGAAAGAAATGATAAAATCGTGAGACTACTGATTAGAAACGGATGTGAAATTTCTTATTATTTTTCTCCATCAATGATTATATTTTCTATAAATGTTATCTTGTTATATGTCTATCAAATACTTATGTGTAGTATCAAATCATTTCAAGTTTTGTTTTGTTTATTTGTAACATTGGAATTATTCAAGGGTTCTTTATTCATTCGTCGTCAAGTGTATATAACCCTTGAGTATGCACATATGTTTGTGTTCGAAATCTCGTGACAAGTGGCCTAACCACAAACATTCATTTATGTTTTTTTTTAATATGCTAATTTTTTAAGAGATGAAGAAAAAAGAATCAAAAGGAAAGAGACAAGGCGAAATAACAATTTCTTCAGGCTGTTGATTATTGATAATGATAAAAAATTGATTATTTTTGTACTCGAAAACCAGCTCGATTTTCAAATAATAGCTACCGTTATTACGATATATATGTATATATGTTTAGTGACTGTTGTTTTTTT